AAAATTTGGGAAGTCATCCATTAATATATACCTATTGTTATTTAAGGCTCCATAAAAAAAGTCCCTTTTCGTCAGAATCATCAAAATTGAGATAAACTCATGAAGAAATAGCCCGTGGTCTGCTCTTTCATAAACGACAAAAACTTTTATTGGACACCTCTCTTTGCTTAAAAAGTAAGAATTTTAGAAGAAGGATCACGAGAGAGACTGGATACTGACGTGCTTTTGAAGAACAAAGATCAAAGAAAAGAGAATCAAGAGGATCGAGATGTATGTAGTAAGGATACACCATAACAGATGCTGTTTATATTTCTCACAACTATCATATGACCAATAACAAAGGCATGAATTGATTAATTTATAACATTCAGAAATAATGAATATTAGTGTTTCTGAGCTCATCAAGATACATAATAGATCATTAAGACCTGTTGTGGATATACCGAATGTGTATCAATTATCTCGAAACTAGAAAAATAATAAAGTTTACAAAAAGAGGAGAAGGTCGTTATGAAACAAAAGTCTTGAACTAATAAAAAACATCTTTTAATGCATTCTATACTGTATACTCAGTGACTGAGCTAATCGAGATTTATTCATGTTTTATGTTCTTAGAATTAAGTTCTTTTCAGTTCTCTATGGGATGGTACATGAACATATGAGAAAAAATTATTCCATGCCTTTCCTTATATAAAGATATGATTCATGTCTCATAGGACTAATGGACTCCTATGACGAATTTCACTTAGTGCTCTTCTCTCATAGTTGCAGTCCATTTTGGATTGCATATCAATCAGTAGATTTGAACAAGGTCTGCGAAGACAAAATAATATGAATGATGAAAAATTGAAATATTTTTAATTTCAAGTTTCTTTTTATTTAAAATATTGAAACTTCTAACATAATATCCTTAAAGTCCATATACTACTTTTATTTGTGACCGCATATCATTGATAGGATTTCAGCAGTTCGATATGTATCAATATATGATAGAAAGAATTATTTATATACTGTACTCGATTATCATTTGAAATAAAAAATAATGCTAAGAATAAAAGCGAATATAGTTACAATAGTGCCAGCATCGAAAAATTTTGTCAAAACTTCTGCAGAAAAACTGATAACATTGCGCATATAAATTAGTGATGTGTTCAGAAAAAAGTTGTAGAGGGAACGAAGACTCTCTGGTAACGCTTCTAGGTATTCAAGCTCCTTTCTAAGCAGAACTCAAACGTTCGTAAGGAAGCTCAAAGCCTTCTAGGGAGGCTAAGCCATCTCTAGCATCCATCTAGTTATGTCACTAATATAAAACTCACCTTGATGTATGATATTCAAAATCGTTTTTTTTCTTTATAAAATTAAAAATCAAGTTTTATATTACGACAAAAAAAAAGTTTTTGAAACGAGTCACTATTACCTATCAAATCATCACTTGCATTTGTCTAGTATTTCATTTAAAGAACGTTCATACCTAGATGTGTCTATATACATATCACTATCCTGTGAGTCGAGAGTTCAGTGAATCGTTTCGCAATGAATGTTACTTGTTGATACTATGGCAAAGAAAATGAAAAATACAATTACAACTGTTATTAAATAATGACGCATAAAAACTTGTGATATTAGTTGTTATGCTACTCAACAAGATTTTTTTTGTCAAAGTGTACTTCAATAACTTGAATATTAATTGTTTTTCTTTTCTGATTTATTAAAACTTTCATTTATATTTTTAATAATATTAATTTAACAAAAAATTGAATACGTTGTTTTTTTTTTTCTTCTGTTCTTATCAATCATAATGAACTATAAGTCATGCTTTGATCGTTTTATTGTTTTAACAGTTGATTGTAATTCTTGAATTGTTCGATTAAGTTTATCATGTAAATTTTGTGTATCAATAAAATTAAATTTATTAACTTCTTTTTGTAATAATAAAAAACGATTTAATTGATTTGTTTCATTTTGTTCTTTTAACCAACGATAATAATCATTTAAATCAGCTGCTTCTTTATCAGTTTCATTTTTATTATGACTATGTTTATTACCACCATGTAATTGTGCATCAAGAAAATCAATTGATGGTTGTATTAATAAACGTTTTGCAGCTTCAATAATAGATGATTTATTATCATTATGTGAATGTGAATGTGGATGTGAATCAATAAGATCTAATGATGGACCGACTTTTTCTAATCGTGTTTCATTTGTCATAGAAATTGTTTCATTTGTCTCCAACGAATGATGAACATGATCATGAATTGAATCAAGAGAAGGCATATTGACCTCTACATGTGATTCGTTTTTAGGAATATAATCATCGATTTGAGATTGATGTTTATCGATAAATGGATTGAAATAGCCTTAAAAAAAAATCTATGTATAAATAATTAAACTAAAATATAATATGATCAAAACCTGCGATTGGTATACGTGCAGTATTTATAATCAAAATCTTTATCATCATTATGATTAAAGTAAGATTGACTTGTTTCATCATGATTTTTTTTTGCTTAGTGTTTCATTCAATTTGTTGATCTTGCATATCGCCTTCTGCAAATTAACAAAACGTGGCATCAGCTGTATAGTATGATGAAATAATGTCCTTGACTTGCCACGTCGATAGTTTAAGAGAAATGAAGAAGAAAATTTAATCAATACATGAAAGAAAATTTATTTCTCCTTGATATATCAAATAAAAATATAGAAAATTATATTCAAATAGTAATATCTTCGAAATTAAAATAGATAGATTCTTGTCCAAATCAAGATGATATATATAATTAGTGATTGTAGAAATTATGATGATGATTATTCTTTAAGTGAACTCGACAATATAGAAAATGTCAGATTCAATAATTGACACTAGTCTTATTTTATTAATTTGATTTTAATTTTCTATATATGTACGACATTTTTCTCATCCATGAAAAAAAATACATCAAAACAAGAAAACAAAATGATCTAATATGATTTTAAAAACGATTCGATTTGACAATATCGATTGGTTTTCTATTGTCATAAATTGATGGTGCTAGAAAAAAAAAAGAATTATTCATCAATAATTTACAAACATTATATGACAATCATATATACCTTGTAAAATAATACCACATGTACCAGCAATACAAGCTGTTGTAAATATATAAAGAAAAAGACGATCGATTACCAATGCTACATATTTCCATTCTTCTTTTATCTATTAACAAAAAAATAATAATAATAAAAGATAATAGTTTTGTACTTGAAATCATTGCTTTCAACATTTTAAAGGAAATAAATTTTACTTCAAGGTTGTAATGGATCGAAAAATAGTTTTTAACTTTAATCAAATACAGAGTTAAGGATTAATAGTAGATATTGGAACTGGAATCAAAACCGAGGAATATAAGCTCGGCTAGAATACTTGGTGTTGAGCAGAACTTGTAAGAACTGATCGAATCAATAGAGATTTACTGTAAACTATCGAAATTGCAGGATCCATTAATATTTGTCAAGATCTCCTAAAGTCTATTGATGTTTACTAAAGCTGTTAACATTCAATACGATGTAACAGATTCTACTAGAATCTCGTTAGACCTAATAGTATGTACTAGATTCTAGTTATACAAGCATCCATTAAATGTTAATCCCCTCGTCTGCAATAGAAGATTCCGATTCTTCTATAAACTTTTAAAAAGCCGTGACCTTAGTCTTTTAAAACTTTTCAGCTCCAGTCTCTGAAAACTAAGCATATATTTTGATGTAAATATACTTAGGGTATATGAAAAGTTCTAGCCACGGTGTTTAAAGGATCTTTTCGGATAAGGAGATCTACTGAGAAATGAAAAGCCAACTATATCATGTTATAAAGCTTTTCGAGGTACGTCGAATAGTATATAGTAAATCCTGTTTTCATAAGACTTTAAATGAACTAGAATCAATTTATTGATAGGCGACCACACATCCACATCCAAGCATGATAAGTTTCTGAATATTATGATCCTTAATATTTGTAAAATATCTTTTCTCACATACGATTTTGTAGAGTTTTTGACGAGCTACAACTTCCTCTATGTAATATCTTCGTTCATCTTTTCAGTGTGGGTGTGGGTATGGGTATGTAGTCGTCTATCAGTCAATTGACTCTAGGTCCTTCTCAGTCCTATGAAAACAAGATTTACTATATACCATTCAACGCGTCTCAAAAAGCTCTACAATATGGGATATTTGGTTTTTCATTTCTCAATAGGTACCCTTATCTGAAAAGATCCTTTAAATACCGTGACCAGAACTTTTGGTATCCTCTAAGTACTAATTAAAACTCTAACATTGCGAAAAATCAACTAACTAAGAGGATTTCTCTGTTACGTCCGACGCATCGCTCCTGAAGTGAATGGTTTATCAGTTTTGAAAAGATAAGTTTTCTATAGTATCTTCACACTGTTTCTAAGGGATCCTCGTAATTGCATGGTTACATTGTTCAGCACGTACCCAATAGATACTTTATTCAAATCTCTGTATCACTAACCACGGAATGATCCTAGACAAGTCACTAACGATTGTTTGTCTCAGATTACTCGTCCGATAACATGCTGATTATGTTGTAATACACACTTGCTCTAATGGTTAGTTATTGCGTATAGGAAGCTCAAGAATTCCAGCTACAGTTAGTATTAGTTTTAGGGAAGATATTAAGCTATTGAATTTACTTTTTTCTCTTCATCTTCTTGTCTCATATGTGCTGCAATACATTTTAAACCATCAAATGCTTTTTTAATTTCATTTGGATATAATGATGATTGATTTGAATGTTCTGATTGTCTTAAATCATTTTCTTCATCTAAATTTTCAATAATATCTTGATCAAAATTATTATCATTAAGTAAATGTTTATTAATTTGATTGTTTTTATATGATTTTGTATGAAGTAATGGTACAAGAAATTTTGATGTTGTTGTTTTATGTTTTTTCATATAATTTGTATAAAATGTTGATTGTTCACCTGGTAATAGATCAATAGTTTTTGGTCTACGCATACCTAAAAGTTTAGGTAAAACTTGTAAAAAAACTCGTCGTACCCATGGTGGCATTTGATGTGTTAATGGTGAACGAAAATGTATATTAAGTACAGTAACAGTAACAACAATAGATAATGTTACTAATATCATTGTAAATAAAAGATATTTACCAATTAATGGTACAACAAGTGATGTTGGTGGAATAAGTTCAGCTAATAATAAAAAAAATACAGTTAATGATAATAATATTGATATACAAAGTGCCACTTTTTCACCAGAATCTGATGGTAAATAAAATGTTAAAACAGTTAAAAATGATATTCCAACACATGGAATTATTAAATTAACTGTATAAAATAATGTTTTACGACGAATTGTTATTAAAAATGTTATATCAGTATATGTTTGTGGACAACATGTATATTTTCGTACATTTCTTTGTGCTGGTACTTCCAGTATATCCCATTCAACTGAACGATAAAAATCAGTTAAATCAATAGCATATGGTACACCTATTATTATAATCAAAAAATAATAATCTAATCAGTATAATATCGAATTTTTTTTGTTTACTATTATTTCCATAAGCAGGTGTTGAACCATTTGTTTGATTTATATGAACAAGATCAACTTGTTCACCATTATAAGTCCATGAACCAAATTTCATTTGACACTGTTGAATATCTTAAATAATAATAAACGAAAATCTGATTACAGGATGCATAAAAATGTTTTTTCCAAGGAGAAACAACAGTATGATTTGAAATAACATCGATAAAAGCTTTTGAAGTGATATTTTGTTCATAGGTAGGACCTGATGAGAACTAGAACAAGCTCAAATGGATAACCCTTCATAGGTCTTCCTTCCGAAGCTGTGACCGCTTTACTGGATTTTCGATCCATGGTAACGTATTTAAACAAAAATCGAATGATGGAGTATTGCTCATATATAGGTTCCATGGTCCTTAGTATGCGCTAAAAGTTTCAATGAAAATGGATCTTTCGTTCTCGAGATAATGAATTGGAAAGAAGTGTCCACATTTCATAGAGAACTCAGAAAAAACCAATTTTTCTTCTATACTCATTATCTCGAGAAAGAAAGAAAGATTTGTTTTAATTGAAACTTTTAGCGCATACTAAGGACCATGAAATCTACATATGAGTAAAATTTCATCATTCGATTTTTCTCTAAATACCTTGCCATGGGCCGAAAATCCAGTAAATCAGTCATAGCTCCGAAAGGAAGACCTATGGAGACTTATCCTTCTGGGGTTTTTCTAGTCTCACCAGATCCTACCTATGGACAAAATATTACTTCAAAAGCTTTTAATCACCTGATGGAATTCTCTCGTAAGTAATAAGGGTTATAACAACCTGTTAGTGTCGAATTCAGAAAATTCTTCGAACTTTATGCCATATCAGCAGAGGAAAATTCGTTTTTATGAAGTACTTCAAACTACATCTCATTTAAAATGATGAATATAATCAATAATTAGTATGATGGCCATTAGCGTTTTTACAAGAGGAAGATGAGGCGGATACGAACATAAAATAATTTCAAATAGGTCTATGTTTTTTTTCGAGTTTCTTTATCACAACGGTTGTGTTCTGTCTCTGATAGTAGTTTCACTTTTTATTATTGTTCCAATATTTTCAGGTCAGATATCCAATACTTTGTAATATTCATCATTTTAGATGAGATTTAGTTTGAGCTACCACATGAAAAGAACTTTTCTCTGCTGCTGCTATGGCGTAAAATTTTAGGAATTTTCTGAATTCGATACTAACAGGTTGTTACAACCCTTACTACTTAGTATTGATAAAACCAATTTTCGATTGGCTTTAATTCAGTATAATATTTGTTGTTGATGTTATTTGAAATCACAACCGTGCAAAAACATTTTAACGCACTCTAAATTCCTCTATAGAATACTTCATGTGACAAAAGTTTTACGACATTTTCTCTTTTAGAAGTATCTGAGATGGAAAATAATAGATTATTTTAAGCTTTGTATCAGAATATGTAGCATTTGATCCTCGACAAAATTCTATTGATTTTAATTTAAAACAGCAGCAATAAAACTTTTTATATGAAGTTTACTTTTCACATAAGTTTTTACTATTTTTGCAACGTTCTTCGTAAGTTATGGAGAAGCACGTAGAAAACTAAGTACTTGTAATTTAAATTTCGACTAAGCGGTCTGTCACCAGACTTTTTAAGTGCTTGATCACAATCTATATTTATGAAGGAACAATAACTTATGTGAGCTATTAGAACAAAAAAAACCGGTCTTCTTTACAATATTCAAATCCTTCTTTCAGCTGAATTTTTTTTTCTAAGCAACATTCTAGTCAAAACGAATAATCAATGAAGAAAATGTCGCTATTTTTCAAAATCAATAGAATTTTGTCGAAAATCAAATACTACATCCTCTGATAGAAAACTTAGGACTATTCTGTTTTGGAAAAAAACATATCAGTAACAGAACAAACGCTTTTA